TTCCTCTCAGAATACATTTACTGCCAGAACAATTAAGAATAAGCATCCAGGATCAGCCAGGTCATTTTAAAAGCATGCCAGTTGATTGATTTTGAATGACACATTAACTCTCCAGTAAGATGTGACTGTGGAAGGAGATACTTATTTCCCCCTGATTGAGCCACGGGGTTTTTGTTTTGTCAGGAGATTTCGGGACGAATGGAGTCGGATTCCAGCCGATCTCCTGGGATGATGGGAGGGCCGGGCCGGAGTCTAGCAGAGCCTGGAGATCCCAGCAGCCCCCCCCCACCCGGCTCCTTAATCCCTGTCATTAACTCGACCACACTAGAGAAAACTGGCCTGCCTGCCAGCCCCTAACCTCTCATCAGCCCTGTCCTTTGTCCCTTTATTTATTCCCTCACATCCCCTCTTTCATTAGGCTCATCTCCAGCTTCTTTGTTTTCTCCTGTGTTGTTGGTTCCTACGGTTTCTGAGGGATTTCCTTCCGATCTTCCCCCGTGAGTGGAGGTGAAACATAAATCCACGGTGTTTCACCTGCAAAGTAATACATAAGACAACAAGAGAATAACTACCCAATCTGACCTGTTTCTTAAATCTCTATAAATACAACAACAAAACCGCGTTGTTTCTTGAATTATTAGCAGTAGAAAATAAACCTCTGAAAAGAAGAATCTCAGTAGGAGAACATAAACGGTCCCATTATAGCACATCCTGTGCGCTGTTTTGTCCAGTGACACACACACTGCAGTGGTAAGAAGATGGGTCCGGGGATGATGGGTCCAGAATCCTGAGAGCGGAGAAGGGAAACACCTTGTGACCCTCCTGTTCCTGACCGAGCTACTGGAGGAGACAACAAGCACAGATCAACGCAAGGCAGCTGAGTCAAATCAGCAAAAGCAGTTGTTGTTGGTTAACATTTGACATGATAATTCCCTGCTTATATCTGGTGCATTCACAAAGTGTTAAATGCATTCTCGTCAGGTGGAAAGAGCACAGAGCTGAGGCTCAAAATAACCCCGTCCCACGTGAGTGAGAGAGAGTACGTGTGTGTGTTTTGTTTTAATTACGTGGAGTGAGGAAGGTAGATAAGTCATAAATAAACAGCGAGGATTCTTTTTCTCTTGGCAACACAGTAATTAGCTTGGAAACGCTGCTGTAGTTTTGCTCTGGCTCAGTCATGTTTGGGTTTTCATATGGATGTCAAAGATAACTGTCTCCCAGACACAGACAGCGAGACCTCTGCTGCAGATAAAGTCTCCATCCAAGGACAACATTGTTTTGATGCACGCGCATCAGTTTACTTGCATGGACTAAGTGTTGGAACACATGAATCTGGATGGATTTACTTCTGCACACTGCAAGGGGAGGTGGAGAGATCCAGCAGCCTGAACATACTAAAAGTAGAGAGACTATCATGTTTTAAAGAGACAGCAGCAAGATGATGGGCTGATTATGTAATTGCTTAATTGTGCTTATCAGATAGAAAAGACCAGCTGATATAAACAGCTGATTGCATGATTGATATCCCCGAACACAGCAAACAGATTATGACTGAATGTGTGCAAAGAAATAAACAGTAGGCTTAGAAATGTATGAAAGAGTCTAGTCTTCCTGTTTTAACTTACTTTATATTTACAAAGTTTTGACAGCAACTGGGTTGCACCTTCAAAGTTAAGCTATTATTGTAAATAAAATTTAAAAAAAGGCATGTTAATGACAAACAGGTGGGCAGATTGGACCACCGTTCTGGATATCTTCATCAACTTTGAAAGCAACGGTTGTTTTAACCTCATCTGTGATGCATGATGGCTTTTTAAAAAGCTTTACAGGTGCATTGCTCATTAAGAGAAAAGTGCTTAGAGCGACAAAAATGAAACAATGGAGCAGCTTTATCAGCATTTCTTATCGCCGTTTGGAAGTCTCCATTTAGTTCAATGCTGTTCAAGTCAAGAGCCAGGCAGATGTAGGAGAAAGATAAATGTGTGTGACCTTGAGTTTAAGAGTTTAATTAGGCGCATGCAACACAACACAATACCCTCGCAAAACCTCCCACTCCACACTTTGAGAGTGTATTTCATCCTTGTGCTTTCTTGTGCAGCAGCGTGCACACGACCGCCAGTTGATCCTCGGAGAACCTTCAGTCTGACAAGATGCTCCGCCATTTAAAACCCCCTCAGCTGAAGCAGTGCCCTCGCACATCTGAGGGTGTGGCGCTGGCTCCACGGCACGGGGGTGCGACGTCGTCTGACACAGCAAAGTCGGCACTTAGCGGGCTGACGTGAAAGGTCCGCGGCTGAGGCTCACAGTTGGTTTACAACGTTGGGTGGAAATACAAATCGGGGTCCATTATGAGTTACGTAAAGAGTTTTCAGCAGGGACGGTGTGCACTCAGGGACCAACTTTGTCTCTCAAATGGTACCTCATATAGACCCTAGGCCGCTCTCAGGACCGGGTCCCCGAGTGCCTCGCCGTGATTTGTGAGGCCTGGGGTCTGCTGTACCCGAGGAGAGAGGGGCATCTGTGTGCCGCCGTCAATTTTTACACTTCAAACAAAACCGTAGGTCCCAGATTACACCTTCAATCACTTATCTCCACCTCTGACCAGACTGGAGCTGACACGAGTCATTGAAAATGTCCCCCAACTCCCCTTTCACTGACTCCAGTGAACTCTGTAAAGATGTGTATCACACACCTCCCTCTCTTTAAAAAAATATCAGCTGCTACAAATCATATAACAGCAAAGACTTTCCATTGCAGTGCTGCGTAAGTATCCGTGCTATCCAGAGGGAGATAAGCGCGGTAATAATCACAGCAACGGGGCCATTGCAGCAGATCAAGAGCAGTCGCAGCGCACGTGTGGTCAAAAACCCCGTGACCCAATGCAGCAATAGTGGCAAAGCATCTACGGTGATACGGGGAGAAAATATGAAGGAAATCAAAGGCATGCTTTAGCTTCTCGTTGTAACTGGTATTGAATGCATTACATCACAGCGAATGTTCAACCTCCCGACCCCCATAAAACTAACTTTAGGACCAGCATCAGGACTATCTTGGCACCTATAAAAGCTCTGATTAACAAGTGAGGAGGTCCTCTGAAGATATCAAGACGGCGGTCTAATCTGGCCATCTGTTTCTTATCTACTAGCTTTTATTTTTTAAATTTGCTAATTTATTTGTCTAAGGGATACCGGGTCTGCGAGCAGCAGGCGGCCAAATCCTCTCCCCGGGGAATGAGGTAGAGGTGGGACCCACCTGGTGTGTGTTTCTGTGCGTGTGTTTGTGTGTGGTTTTCTAAGATCAAACATCAACTACAAGCAGAATAATCATGGTGCATTATTCTTTCTCTGACGCCAAACCGGGGAGGTCACGGCTTTCACTTTCTTTGGATTAACTTTTGAATTGATTGACACGAATATACCGTGCAGGAACATAAGCAGTCAGGCTGTTAAACTGTGACCCAGAGAGAACTTCTACAAACCCGGTCCACAGTTTGGACCCACTGAATGTGCGTAGTAGCTCTCTGCCGTCACCACTAGGAGGCCCAGTTTTGGACAGATTCTCTATTCTGCTGTAAATAATGTTCAGCACTGCTTAGACTTGCCCACTCTCTGCTTTGCTGAAGGTATTTAGCTGACTGGGGTTCGCGCAAGTTCACAAATAATATTATTTTTTCATAGTTTTTTTGCAGATGGTTTTGCTCAGATTCCCATTAAGCAGAATTCGTTATTTAGGTTAGTTATATTTCTAAAGTTTTGTTTTATGGTTAGACAGTTATTCCAACACTACATTTATATAATACATACATTTAAATTTCTTCAAGTTGCATTCCTTGTACGATGCAATCAACGGTTTAAATAAGCAGGTTTTAACCAAAAGGCTCAATGAATAGGACTTAGAAATAGACATTGTTAGCACAGTGATGGTGTCAATGCGAGGTTTCCTTGTGTTTTTCTTTCAAACCGGTGCGTTTGCTTGTCCCTTTATTATGGAAATAAATCCCCTGACCTGGGAATTGAATTCACACATCCCTTGAGCTGCCCGCTGACTTTTAATCTAATCTTCAAACAGTTTGCAATTCACTGTCGATCTCATTACGTTGACATTTCAAGGCAACTCATCAAACTGGTAGGTTAACATTTCCGATAGAGAGGCTGCACAACATTGTAATCCCACAGTAAACTTTCTTTAATTGTCAATTTGGCGACAAAAAGAGACACGATGTGACACATTCCCGACATTTAGCATGTTTAACGGCTGTTTAAGTGGGATTGTGATGCAAAACAATATGAGTTGAAACGTCCAGACTTGTTCCAGTCAAATCTTATGACGAAGTCCCTGAAAAAATGCACTGCTGAGACGTTTTTCATGCTGATTAAGAAATAAAATATTACTCAAGCGACAGCAAGGCAAAGTTGTGTGACTTGTCCAACATCTGTCCGCTTTGTTTATATGATGTAATTTATTTACTTCAATAATGGGTAAATACTGATTAGATCAACTGTTCGATGACATTATCTCCATTCTTATTGTTACATTCCTAGCATTGCTGTCATTCATCTCAGAATTATTAAAATGATGTACAGGATTAATAGCTGTTATTTGGTACAAAGAAACAACTTTATCACTTTATCAACTTGATCCCATTATCAACTTGAATACTTTGATTAATGATCAATGTCTTAATCACCAGATTAAGTTGGATCTTGGCGATAAATCCTTAATATCGGGAACTTACTGAATTTAATCGTTAATTAAAAAGTCAGCTTTTTTTTGCAAATGCCTAAAAATGCTTATTAATTTCGCTTAGTTAAATAGCATTGGTTTAAGGGTTTTACCTGTCACATTGGGGCTCCTCGTCCTCCAGGCAGAGGGTTGGGCCCCGCCAGAGGAGGTGAGAGGGGGGGGGGCTGAGAGATGTTTTACTGAAGGGGGAGGAGGGGGTCGTCCTGGGAGGGAACCAGGGGTGTGGAGGGCCGAGTTTAAAAAGGCAGACAGCGCCAACAGTCACTCACTCTCTCACACAATCTGCCCTCCTGCAACTCCCAGCAGCAGTCAACCCAGCAGAACCTGCAGCTCCACTGATCCCTCTGACTTTTGCTCCGCTTCACTTCCGAAGACTCAGGAACTGTAAAGGACTCTATCTTTTGTCTTTTTTTCTGAGAACGGAGGATTTTTTTCTTTCCCACTGCAGCATGGAGACCACCACCGGGGAATATGGTTATAACTATGACTATTATGATGACAATGAGACCGCCTGTGACTTCTCAGAGTGGGAGCCCTCTTACTCTCTCATACCGGTCCTCTACATGCTCATCTTCATCCTGGGCCTGTCCGGTAACGGTGTGGTCATCTTCACCGTTTGGAGATCCAAATCTAAGCGCCGGGCTGCAGATGTCTACATAGGGAACCTGGCCATTGCTGACCTCACCTTTGTTATAACCCTGCCTCTGTGGGCCGTGTACACGGCGCTAGGCTACCACTGGCCCTTCGGCGTGGCCCTGTGCAAGATCAGCAGCTACGTCGTTCTGGTCAACATGTACGCCAGTGTTTTCTGCCTCACCTGCCTGAGCTTTGACCGCTACCTGGCCATCGTGCACTCTCTGTCCAGCAGCAGGCTGCGCTCCCGGGGCACCATGCTGGCGTCCCTGGCTGCTATCTGGGTCCTGTCCGGCCTGCTGGCTGTGCCCACGCTGTTCTTTCGCACCACCCTGAACGACCAAAGCAGCAACCGGACCACCTGCGCAATGGACTTCAGCCTGGTCACCTTGAACCAGAAGCACGAGTACCTCTGGATCGCTGGGCTCAGCCTGTCCTCCTCCGCCTTGGGTTTTCTCCTGCCTTTCTTGGCCATGACCATCTTCTACTGTTTCATCGGCTGCACCGTCACGCGCCACTTCAACAACCTGCGCAAGGAGGACCAGAAGAAGAAGCGACTGCTGAAGATCATCACCACGCTCGTGGTCGTGTTCGCCTTCTGCTGGACTCCCTTCCACATGCTGAAGAGCATAGATGCCCTCTCCTACCTGAACCTGGCTCCGAGCTCCTGCGGCTTCCTGCGCTTCCTGCTTCTGGCTCACCCCTACGCCACCTGCCTGGCCTACGTCAACAGCTGCCTCAACCCGTTCCTGTACGCCTTCTTCGACCTGCGCTTTCGTTCCCAGTGTCTGTGCCTGCTCAACCTGAAGAAGGCCATGCATGGCCAGATGAGCTCCATGTCCTCCACGCTCAGCGCCCAGACTCAGAAGTCAGAGATTCAGTCTCTGGCCACCAAGGTGTAGAGGGTAAAAGGAAAGGTGGAGCGTGGCCGGTACCAGCTCCGACCCCCTGGAACACTTGTAAAAAAAAAAAATTACTTTATGTGTCCGTTGTTCAAAGCTGGTGAGCTGAGATGATGAACTTTCACTCTTCACAGTAATGAAATCCATAATGTGTTCTTCCTGTATACAGCAAAGGAGGGATGATGTGTTTGTAGTGTGGATTTAAAGCTGGAGTCAGCGGGCTGAGCTCCTTGGCTGCTTTGTTCCTCAGATTCTCAGAGAAAAAAGTATATTTTTTGTTTTGTCCTGTTCTGCAGTCCTCATTTCTATCAGGGAAATGTGACAAAATTATGATTTTAGAAACACACACTGTTTTTAATTTACACAAATAAAATGTGTTTACACTGGATGAAACATAAAGCTGTACAGTATTTTCATACCATAGCATTGTTTTTCTTGTTCAGATCTATTGCTGTTTTGTTTTAGAAGCACTTGTCAAAAGGATATGTGAGCAGGGAACTTAAATAAAGTGGTGTCCTCTTAAAAGTGTCTTGTTTTGAAGGTCTGCAGGGGTGGTGGGGGGGGGGGGGGGTAAGCGGAGAAAAGGTGTTGCGGCTTAATTATATAGTTTGTTGAGAGGAGACAGGGGGCAGACAGGCAGATGGCAGTTGACAAATGTTGTTGGGGAACAGGAACGAGCGGGTGGAGGCGTTTCACAGTGTACTCACAGCACTAAAAGAGGACAAAGGAACTCTGTAAATAAATGTTCCAATTCGATGTATATGTTTTATTTTTCAACATCACTGTAACTAACTACTGTAATAAAAAATGTGTTCTATGAACCAGGTTTCTTACATTTATTGAGTGTGTGTTTGTGTGTGCGTGTGTAAAAAAGCAAAATGCAAAGTTTGTTGACGCTTTTAAAAATGCACTTTTATCGTAAACATAAGGGGTTTCGTTTGGAAATGTAACTCCTGTAGTTTTACAACAGTTTCATTCGACTATCCTGTTAGTCCAGTGTGAAGTATCTCCAGAGGGTTCAAGCTTTGTTATGAATGCTTTGCATTCGGTTTACACCTTCAGACTAATAGATCTCTAATCTCTATTGATTCACAGCCAGTATCCAGACTGTAACCGGATTATGCAAATCGATCGCCATCCTGAGTGTGTATTCAATACTCGCTTCTGACTTTCATTCAGCTGTGGTACTCTAACTTTTTCATCCCACAGTGGGTCACAATCAAAGGTGTTTGACTTACCAACAGTGTTTATTACCAGCAGAAAGAGTCATTCCCAAAAATTGATTTCCAAATGTTTTAAATTACAGTTGACTTCTTTTGAAGCAGTCAATGGAAAACAGAAAAAAAAGACTCTTCAAGTCCAAGCGATGCAACGTCAACCAAATCCCACATGTTCACTGAATAATAGGGTCATTACCAGCGAGGGACTCTTCTGAGGGATCCTTGGGTTTGACAGTAATGAGCTCTGTTGGACATAATTACCGTTTAGAGATGGCGACGGCGGGGGGGAAGTGGGGCTCTAATTCTGGCAGAAGTCGGGACACTGAACAAGTCAATATTTGTCCCCGCTGACAAGTGATTGCAGTTAGAGCGGTTGTGGGGGGCTGGGCTGGGGGGGGGGCGTCTGACTGCAGATGCTCCAACACACTGGCCATAGGCCTTTGCTCGAGAAACTAGGTGAGGAATAGTTTGTCTCGGAACTAAAGTAACAACATGTGTGAAGCGGCGAGCACGTGGGGGCCGCTCGGTTCACTTCGCCTCGGTGTGTGAGCGATCATGTGTTACAAAATGCAGCCCGTTTTACAGCGGAGGAGCGTGAAGCGGATCACAGACGGGAGACAGGATTGCTTGAACATTTACTCATCTCACAGATGCCCATTTAGATGGATTATGAGCGAGAGAGCCTCTGATACAGGCTTCTACAGCTTCGATACGAGGGCCGTGACCAAAAGCAGGCAGCCTTCATCTGGCTCATACGTATGATAATAAGACCGTGGAATCAGGGCGGAGTCGATCATGCATGCTGGACTGGCCAGACATGTTGTTGTTATTGAGATGAGCCGGGCTGACAGCTTGTCTGACGCTGTTAGCCAGCGAGTCCACTTTGGAATAACTCACCCAGAACACCAGCTGAGCAAAGCATCGGGGATGACACAAAAACCCACCGACACAAAAACAACAGTTGCCTCTGAATGCACATAAATGTGTTGGTGTGTGGCCTGTGTGACCTGTTGTGGATGGATGTTTGGATGTGTGGCCTTTACAGTGTTTCCAAAGAATTCTCAGAGGGAGTTCAACCATGTAACCCTGTGGAACCATAAAATGTTATTAGTAGAGTAGAGCACATAAAGAGGTTCTGACCATCAGTGGTTACTTTTAATAAAATAAAAAACATTTAAAAAACCCATCCTATTTTTGAACTATTGTTTTATTTTACCCTCTTTTATTTTGTGAACTTCCTGTCATATATTAAGAACACTTAAACTAATAGTTTGATCCTTTCCATCCAAAGGATAAGACTGGTGATAATATACAACAGTGTTGACAAATGTGTTAACAGTAAAAATCGTGAAAACAACAAAACCAACCAATATTTTCTAACTTCTGTGCCTCTATGTGGCTCTCAGTCCCGAATGAACAGGAACTGCTCTGAAACAGTTAATTTCCTCTGAAACAGCTGGGCACTGTGGTTATTAGTTACTAAAAATAACGTTTTTTTAAGGGAACTATTTTCATCTGCATGTCAATACACGTTCGTTGTTCTGGTTTAGTATTTATGGCACTGGAATGTATGTGGGTTTGACTAAAAATAAACTAGAGTTCCGATGTTTATGGTAAAAAAAGGAGTACATTCATGTGTTTTAATACTTTTGGGGGGGAAATTGACACAAAGGAATCAGGCTTTTCCGCCTTCGCTCCGCATCTCCAGCCACATTCGAGGCGCACTCAGAGGAGGAGGCACCTGCGTTGTGTGTCTTCCGTGTGAGCTGCCACACCCAAATGGGACATCTGAACCGAAACGCAACTGCTCACCTCCCCTCAGATCTCCCTGCTGTTCAATCCCACCCAAGCAGACACAAATGCACTCTGAATTGTGTGTGTTTTTGTATTTGTGTGTGTGTGTGTGTGTGTGTGTGTGTGTGTGTGTGTGTGTGTGTTCATATGCGCATGTAAACAGAGATCTGACACATTCCGTGGCCTGTCTAAACTAACCCTACTTTCTCCGTAGCGTTCGGCCACCTCTTGCCCGCCCATTACTCACACACTCACGCATACACATGCGCGCGTTAAGGGCATTTATCTCTCCACACAATCCATCCATTAGTTGGTTTAACACAGGAGAAAAGGGGAGTGGGAGTAACTTTCTGGCCAAAACCTTTGTCAAAAAGATTAAAAGTGTCTTTGGATTGCTTCTCCCCGCCTGCCTGTACGCGAAACCTGTGAATCTGGAAGCCAAGAGGGTCTACTGGGACCCGGGAAATCACCACAGAAGACTTGGTGGAGGGGGAATGAGGGTGTGGAAGTGTGGCTACATTTGTGCGTGTGTCTTTGTGGGTGGTTGGTTGCAAGTGTGTTTGTGTTTTTATTTTCCTCCTCCATCCTTATTTGGTAAAATTCAAAAGCCTATTCTCTTAATAATTCCTTCTTTTCTCTGTAGAAAATGAACATGTCGGATGTCGGATTGTTGTACTGGGAACCGTCTAGTAAGAGCCAGATTTACAGCTTTGTGATGAAAAACTGTCCAGAGGATTAAGGCTCAGTACCAAGTACTGTTAATAACATAACACGTCTGAGAGGGTGATGGTCCGAGTTTGAATCCACTAACAGTTCAGACAGCCGAGCTTCTGATCCACCAAAGCTTAAATGTTGCAGAGCTGTCTCCACCTCAAATATGCATTTTGCAAAGAAAGTGTACAGTGATTAAAGAATTGTGGTAATAAACTTTAAAAACTATAGCCATGACAAACAAATCTACTATAAATGTATCTAAATTAATTTGGACATCAAGAAGATTGGTATGGTTTTCTTATCCTACTACCTGAACTGTTTGTGATCAATCACATTCCAGAGCATTTGCAAACAGAGTCAAATGACCACAAATCTTATGAATAAGGCCTCACATGTAATGGAGTATTACATGTCTAATCATGCCTCACAAAAAGTGGTCGCTTGAGTGCCTAATACACCGACACTGTAGTCCCCCCCCCCTCCCCCCCACCCCCCCCCCCCATGGGATGGGTGGAAATTGCTACCATGTTTGCTCAAGAATTGTTGAAATCAGCTTGTCTCAGGAATCTGTCTGGTTTAACCGGGAAGTGGCCTCTCACTGTAATTGTCCAGACCCTGAGAAACACAGCCTGGAAAAATACAGCATTTACATGAGATCAGAGTTTTCATGGTAATGTCATTATCTTTTGGCACGTTCCGAGAGGTGATCAGGAAACCTGAACTTTTAAATGGGTCTCCCTAAAGTCGCCTCCCAGTCATTGTTATGTGCGTGGGGTCATTTCCACTCCACCCGTTCCACAACTAAATGGATGAGGATTGTAGTCAGCTGAGAAAATATATGTAGATTTGCAGGACACAAAGACTGGGGTTAAATTTATAACAAGCAGCACAGATGTGTCTACCTATCTATCTATGTTTGTATGAAAGCCATGAACCAGCTGCATGGTGCATATTAATGAGCCCTGCTGCTGGTGAAAAATCGTTAGGCACGAGACGCTGCTTCCGAGGACAGCGCGGCTTGGCCAGACCTGAATGTGGTGGGTTCTCGTCCTCTCCGGATACGGTCGCTGAGGGCCCATCGTCCCCGATGCACAAAGATCCTCTTCACATCCCTCTCTATCCCATCCATTCAGAAAGGGCCTGCCTCGAGCCACACGGCTCCCGTTCCTGCTTCAGGGCTAAATGCATCTCCTGTCACTGATTGGTCCCAGTGCCAGTTCAGCTGCTGGAAGCACTCAGGTGCTCAGGTCCCCGCGAGTAAATATTAGACGTATATGACAGGGTTTCGGATCACCTTCCTTTCACAACTAACACCTTCATGAGCTCGGAGCGAATACTATGCGTGCTTTTTTTTTAACAGTAACAGTTTTTGTTGCTTTTCTGAAGCAAGACATGTCACTTCTTCTGCAAAAAAAGAAATTGACAGATAAAAACATCATGGTGAGAAATGATTTAAATAATGTAAAGATCAAGCACAACATTTAGTCAAATTGTTTTACACATTTTGCATGATGCCCTCCTCTTTCAACTTAAGCTTATCCAATCAACACGCGTTCATACTCACTCATTAGTTCTCCATCAGACAACTCATTAATTCCAAAATTCCTCTTCAATTTCATTCATTCATCATTCATCATGCAGCTACAGCCAGTTATAAAACTGCTCATCTCTCTCTGTAGCAATGTGACATCCACAGAGATGCGATTCTTTACAGCCCAAATGAATGAACTGCTGCCATCTGTTGGTTGGATGGTACAGTTAACCAAAAATATGTGTCCTTCCAGGCAGAAGTGTCAGGCGATATGCTGTAGAAGTTATTATTTAAAGTTTTGTTTCACACCTTGTTGCTCCTCAGATATATGGCAATGAGATTATTGTAACACTCATGGGACCAATGTTTTCATTTTAAGTTGGTTAAGTTAGTTCATATTTAGGGAACTAAAGTATATAAACAATATTTTCAGCTGAAGCAAAAACAAATGCATTCACTGTTTTGAAGTAAACGAGGAATGTCTTTTCAAGCTCTCACAACATACTTTATTAGTTTTTACCATTATTATTGCTATTTTCAAACCCACTTTTAATTTATATATTAAAACAGTAATAGTATAGTAATATGGCTGAAAGGCAAACCAGCAGTTGAACAGGTACAGTGACATTCATGAATAAACAATAACAGAGGTTCCATACAAAAAGAAGACAATTTTGACCTAAATGATTTGTTTGTTATTGCAAAAACAACAATTATTCATTCATCCGAGAAGAGTCAGTTTCCTGTTTTAGCTTTCCGCTGGACGTCCTTTTTGTGCTGACGGAGTGGTGGGCAAACCAGGGGCGGCGGCCTGCGGCTCTGGCCAGGCTTGTTGGCTGGTAGGGGGAGCGCTGGGTCCCTCAGCAGGAGCAGAGAGCCTGCACCCTTCGAGGAGCACAGCGTCTCCGATTTGGCGCGCGGGCCAAAGACAAATGGGGCACACGTCTTAGGGACGATTGTGGTCATGGTCCGAGTCAGGACTCTTCCTCGTCTGGTTGCCAAAGTCTTTTGTGCGTTGTTTGGACCTTTGCTCTCTTGCTGCTCCTTGCGATTTGGTAGATTGCTGGCTTGCAAGCTCTGCATTTTACAGTCCAAGTCTTTCAGAGACTGGTCAGTGTAGGCCCGCATTTCTTTAAGCACCTGAGAAATCTTTCCCTCAAACTCGTCCTTTAAGGCCTTTTCACGCGCCTCAAACTTTTTTTCGAAAACCGCATACTGGTCCCCTCCCTTTAGATCCATTGCAGATTTGCTCTCATCAGTCAGCAGGTCCGCCGGTTCCCCCTCAGATTCTCCGTTCACCCGTGCAAGCTCCGTTTCTCTGTCTTTGACTCTCTGCACCAGCTCCATCATGCTGCTCTTTGGGGCCTTCGTACCCACCTGTGATCTGATCTGGTTACCTACCTTTTGGAATGCGGACTGGCTCTTTGATCGTGTCTCATTTTCTGCAGCATCGCTGTCTTCCAAACATTCCTCTTCCAGATCCACAGAGGACATTTCCCCTTCTGTTGTTGCAGCATCATCTTGCTCTTGCATACCATTGAATAGTATTTGTGGATTTATTTTTGATGGAAATTCACTCATTTTTGTTTCTTGCCTTGACGCCTGTTCTGTTCTCTTCGTCTGAGCTAAAACAACAATGTGGTTAGTGCTGGTGTGGGAAGGACCTGATTCACTGTGGTGTTTATCCTTAGAGAGACTGAATCCCAGGGGACTTAGAACTTACAGTCTGGTGCAATGACGCATTATGTATGAGATAACATTTAAAACATTGCAGTGAAACAGCAGCCATCCAAATTCAACCCGCTCAAAAGTGCAATTCATGTACAGTTATTGATTAGAGGCGATTATAAAAAACCTTGAAGAAATACTTCTGCTCTGGTAAAGCAGTACTTAAATGTAAATACGACTCTCTCAGTGGCACTTAAATTATAACAAATACCTCCCATATCACATTATTTATATAAACATACGTAGTTATGTAATCCAGCTCGTATTACTTCACCCATGAAAACTGCGTCCTTCTGTCCTCGTGTGTGTGGTTGCATCCCATGACGATGAACCTTCTGGTAACAACGTGAAAAACAAAGGTCTTCGGGGATCGGCGCAGTGGGAGCAGCATGAGGTGTGGGTTCAATATTCTCATTAGTGAGCTGTTACTGGAATGTGACGCTGCAACACGCAACTAAAATGTGTTTTAACAACACATTTAACAACATTTAACATGTGCTCTGGGGAGGACTTGACTAAATATCTACTCTAAGCCGTAGCTAGTGGCCTCTACATAGACGGGGTTATCAGGGTTATTAACCAAGGCATGAGTGTGAAAGCTGCTTAGCTTCAATTAAATTGGAAATTTGTGCTCTATAATTTGAGCACACTGAGGTATCACGGAAAGTGCGTTCTCACACGTGTTCATCCTGCAACAACGGTTTGTTGCAGTTCTGTTATTGATGTCATAACAGAAGCCAGCAGTAGGCGCTGCTCTAGGCCACAGGGTCTTTTTTTCTCTCGTCTGCTCATTCAGATTAGATAGATAACTAACTAGAAGCAGGACATAAACTGCTCTTCATCTCACAAATATAAGACAACAGAAGGAGATCTCATTAAAGCTCAAAACAAATAGCGATAATGCATAAGTACAAGGACTAGTAGTAGTAGTAGTAGATTGTCAAAAAAAATAATAATACACAACTTCAATTTAAGATGATGAAGGAAAAATACTAATACACATCTTTCTCACCTCCCTTATCCTGTTCCTGATCCCGTTTATCTCCTCACACTGCTCCATCCTGACTGCTTATATTGCTCACTGATATTTTATTCTGCAGCAAGAAGGTGCGACATGTACATCTCTCTGGCATTTAAAGCCCATATGTGCTCGAATTTGAACAGACAAATACCAAAAGGACAAGGTATAGCCGGACAAAAGGGAATTAGTTTTATTTGTATGAGATTTAATAGAAATTTAAAGGACATAATAGTATAGAAGTAATGTAGAACCACTTTATGAAGAGTAAAAGCTGCCCTGCATGGATTTTATTTGTCTGATTAGTCTGATTTCATACATTTTTCACATACTGCATGTCTTTTTGTGCGAATTAAACCCGTCAGCTGCACTTTGGGAACAGCGGAAACCTGTTAATTCAACCTGCGATGTCACAAAAGCTTCAAAAGTTCAAACACTACCAAAGGATTTTTGAGCAACAGTGGCTTTGCTTACTTTTCTGTAACTCTTTAACTGACATAATCCCAATGCGCCGAATGATCGATGTGGAGGGGGATCGATGAAAGGGGGGCAAAACCTCAGCTCCAGCACGGCTGGCCAATGAGAGTCCTGCATGAGTGAACCTCCTCTCACAACTAAACAGAAACACATGGCTTGCCTTCTGAGAACCCCTGTGATTCTAAATGAATGTGTAAAAACTGGTTTCGTATTTGGGATGGATGAGGAGAGGGTATGTGTTATTTACACTAAAAGAATGTGCGAGTGAATTAAGGGAGGAGATCAGACCAGTGGTACGTGAACGTTTGTTTTTTGAAAGTCATTGTATAACAGCGAAAGTGCATGAAGAATCAATACCACCCCTCCGCCTCCTCCCGCTCCTCAAACATCTCCTCCTCACCGGTGGGTGTGGATCTACAAACTCACTTCTCAGCTTTTCAATTCACAGATTCATAGTTGATTTCATTCTGACATTCAGGTCAGCAGGAGCAAGATGGTGAGTTACATTTCACTGTTGAACTATTCTCAAATTACCTTTCTTATTGCTGTGATAAAGAAAAGTTGTGTGAGCACCGTCATAATATCTGCATGGTTGTGGTTTTTCTCTGTAATATAATGTTGATGATGTGCTTTTATCTTTCTAGACAACATACACAGATAAAGGCGAAAAGGTAGGCTAATAAAACTTCAAAAAAATTCTACCTTTTAATTGTTTTTCTCCCTTTTGTCCCTTTAAGGGTTTTGTCTACATATTTACCAAAAGCTAAATCCCTGTTCTCGTCCTTAGCATGAGCAGGGAAGGTTCCTCTGCTTTGATCACATAACATTCTGGGTTGGAAATGCAAAACAGGTAAGTGAAGTCAAACTGCTCCATGTGCATTTTTTGGGACGCATCACATATTTTACAAACAAGCCTTCACACAGATGACGGTGTGTAGACCAGACTCAAAAGTAGTTGGCCATCCTGAGGGTTTGAGGGGGCAAAGCACGTAAAACCCCAGAGTACAAACATGTGATGCAACGTCTGCACAGACAGAAAAAACAAGCTCTCCAAAATTGGCACATGGAAGATGGCGCTTATCAGAATGTGTAAATCTATTGACATGATGCCAACTTTCAGTTCACTGTGACTTTCAATGAGAGAAATTGAGAGGATTTTCTGTTGATTATAAAACATTGTCTTCAACAGGCGGCATCATTTTACTGCAACAAGATGGGATTTGAGCCTCTGGCTTACCGCGGTCTGGAGACAGACAGCCGTGACGTGGTGTCCCACGTAGTCAGACAGGGAAAGGTAAAGAACCGACACACCTGACACAAGCACCGAAATATGCTGAAATACTTTTTTGTTTTCCACAGTAATGTGGATTGTAACACTGGCATTAAATAAACAGCTTTTAGGACTCAAATTGTTAATTGAAAATCAAATGATAGAGAAGGAGGGGTTGATGTTTTCACTTTGTATTTCATAGATCATTTATGTGTTCTCGTCTGCCCTCAATCCGGGAAATAAAGGTACGTAGCCTTTCATAGCTGAAGCACTTATTTCCGTTTGTCCACATCACTATTAAGAATACATACTTTATAAATACAAAACCATCAAAATTGTTGCAATTCCATGAATACAAAACACATTTGTTAGAGACAGCAAAGAGAGGAGGTGCCACAATACAGATCACTCATATTTTGGCAAACCATACTCATATAATTTATTATACTTTCTAGGAAATGTTTCCTCATGGTTCTATTTGTCCTGTTAAATATTTTCTTGAAAATCTAAAATCAATTGTAATACCATAAACTACCTGCTGGCTCATTTTGAAATGAAAAAGAATTGTGAAAAACAGTCTTTCGGATATATCCAGACTTGCTTTTGTCAAATTAGCTCCAAACAAACTTTTAGTGTGCATGAAAATGCTGTTAACCATAAAACTTGGCAAAAAAACTACATTTAAATCATTATGTTAGACACATGCATAAAATGCATTAGGTGCTCAACAAAAGAAAAATCTCATATTTTTCAGAGATGGGCGACCATTTAGTCAAACACGGGGATGGAGTAAAGGATGTCGCATTCACAGTGCAGGACTGTGACTTCCTCGTGCAGGTAACACTACAGATTTTCATTTTGCTGCATTGTCCTATATGCTATAATGTGATGTATTCACTTACCAAATATCATTGTACGCAGAAAGCCAAAGAGCGAGGTGCAGTTATTGTAAAGGAGCCCTGCACCCTGCAGGACAAGTACGGTAAAGTCAGGCTGGCCGTGCTTCAAACGGTAAGACTGAGCATGAATCCTACAAACTTACATTAAACATTTAGTCACTATTTCATTATACCACATTAAGTAAGAAAATGCCACAGTTGTAGACCTGCTTGTGCTTGTTGCAGTATGGGGACACCACGCACACGTTTGTGGAGAGGGCCGAGTACACCGGGTTGTTTCTGCCGGGCTTCCAGAGCCCCGACTTCAAGGACCCTTCACTAGCCAAACTGTGAGTGTACAAAAAGTCACCAGAATGTTCATAGAAGGATGAAGACGGGATGACAGCTTATGGTTGTGGCCTTTTGCTTCCGTGCAGGCCAAGTGGAAAACTGAACTTCATTGACCACGTTGTGGGAAACCAACCGTATGACGAGATGGTCCCAGTGGTGGATTGGTAAAGGATGCTCAACTAATCAACTCATTATCTTAGAGAGTTTAGAAGCACTCAGCGTGTCACACGTGGAAACTACACACTAGCTCTTCAGACCAGTGGGGAGGCGCCAGAGGACGTCTGGTTCCTATAAAACTCCCCAAACGAGTCAGTGGTCAGCATGACTTTGCATTTCTTAAGAGGGTCTCCAGCAGTTTTACACATCTGGATTGGGTTTTTACCATCACGTAGACATGAAAAGGCAGGGAGAGGCGGTTCTCTAAAGGAGCCTGCTCATTGGTTGATGCTGGAAAGAGGGGTGTGACTTTGGCATGAGACATTCTGATGGGAAGAGCCTCATCGAACTTGCTCTTAACCAATAAAAACTCATCATTCGTGCTTATCAGTCTGTAATTCTCCAAGTTAGATCCTCGGGCGGTAATAGCGACAGTTCTGGCCATGTAAAGAATTGAAATACAACCTTTGCTGACATCAGAAAAGCACCCTAAAGATTAGAAATGCTTCAACATACGTTATATGTTAACAATACAAGAGGCCTCTTCCAGTGTGTTGGACCCACCATATGAGGTTTGAACTTGCACCACTGCAGCTTTTTGATCGCTGCTTTTGGATCCAACAGGTATCAGAGAAACCTTCTCTTTCACCGCTTCTGGTCAGTCGATGACAAGCAGCTCCAGACCGAGTTCAGTGCCCTGCGCTCCATTGTGGTGGCAAACCACGAAGAGACAGTGAAGATGCCCATCAACGAGCCTGCCATGGGGAAGAGGAAGTCTCAAATCCAGGCAATGTTCTTTGCACCTTTGAGTGTGGACTTGTTTACTTGCACAATACTAGTTAAATAACAGGTTTCCTTTCCATACATTGTCACTCACAGGAATACGTGGAGTACTACGGAGGTCCGGGTGTGCAACATATAGCCATGAACACATCAGACATCATCACCGCAGTAAGTCTACAAAGCGCCACGACTTTGTGGATGTATTCCAAAACACAGCAGCTATTCATTTATGATTAATTCCTTCTTTGTAGATTCGTAACCTAAAAGAGCGCGGCATGGAGTTCATGTGTGTGCCGAACACCTACTACCAACTACTCAGGAAGAACTTGAAAGGCTCAAAGGTCAAAATCTCGGAGGACCTTGATGTTCTGCAGGTCAGAACTAACATCATTCTTTAACAGAATTGGAGGACAGATGTCCCTTTGAACATCACGTTATCTTTGCTCAAAGAATTGATTGTGTTTTGTTTGTCTCCTTTGTTGACTGATCAGTCACGTCTACTGCTGTAATGAGCCAACAAAATAGTCAACTATTCAGCATCAGCAAACAAGGTGGAGAAATGAATTACCAACGATGGATTTTATAACAAACGTTATCTTGTGACCTCCTTTGTGTCCAGGAGCTGAATATCTTAGTGGACTACGACGAAAATGGCTATTTACTTCAGATCTTCACGAAGCCAGTTCAGGATCGCCCCACTGTCTTTTTGGAAGTCATTCAGAGACATAACCACCAGGTGAGGGCGCCACCAGATAGATAACCGACATCCTATTCGTCAGTGAGTGAACGTGTAGGCGAGGAACGAGGCTCACTTTGCTGCCAAAACTCAACACGTGGTTTCTCCACAGGGCTTCGGTGCAGGAAACTTCAAGGCTCTTTTTGAGGCCATCGAAGCTGACCAGCAAGCGAGGGGAAATCTGACCATCCTGACACCAGACAGAGTGTCAAAGAACATGTGATCCCTGTATTGTGACTAATATACCGTCTGAGTATCAATTAATCAATTAACTATGACAAGACACTTTCTGTTCATGTCCGTTTATCTTTTTAATAGTTTAATAGTAATAATGTGCCACATCAATCTGTAACTTGCATGTTTTATTACAAAGTAACATATTTTATCTGTCAAAGGGTACTTTGTTTTAATCTCCCCAATGATTATTACTGATAACTGAATGAGTTGTTTGTATCAAGATAAAAGGAAGAGTTAATCACAACTTAATTACAATGCAACACTTTTTAAAATAAAATGTTAGCAAGAAAACTTATATTGGTGATACAAGCTTGACTCAAGCAAAAGACAATTTAAGCTCCCAAAAATGAAAACATGTAACTATACAGTTTGTTCAGACAGTTGGAGCAGAACAGACCTCTCATTGCAAAAAAGGCCTTTGTATGAGAATCAGAGAGCCGAGTCTTTCACTCCATGTGGGGAGAGAGAGCAATTACAATGTGTGAATCTGTGTTCATTCATTCACAACCAACTGTAATTTGTGATATTGTTTTACCAGATAATTGAGTTTTTGTTTTTCACAGTGATTACCAGTATTTAGAGGAGGCAAACTACAACTTCATTACTTCATGCTAGACCTCCATTGATAATACATTGCAGTCTTACATGCTGTTTAGTACAGTTTATTAAATCATTACTCCCTGAGCAGCACCTCCACTCATGTGCAGTGTTTTTTTGAGCTCCTCAAGCGCCTCTGTAGACCGTTTTCAACAGTCTTTGAATAGTGTTGACACATCTGCTGGGCCAGTGCTTACATTGTATTGCACCAAAGGGAACTTTGAATAGCCTCATAATCAGAGCCGTGGAGATCAGTTCAAGGATCCACGACAGCTATCCGCTTCACACAAACAAGGAATCTTTGTTTCCTCAATGGGAAACTTGTAGTCATATGTGATTTCTTCATTGATGCTTATCGGCTGTCGTGAGTATATCACTATCTTCTTCTCAGAATCCACGGTGATGATCTTTGCATAACAGTTGGGCTGCAAAACAAAAAGTGTATTCTGCATTAACAATCGCATTTAACATCCATTTAATCCCTTTCATCTCCAACCTTACTCCTTCCTCACATTGCAGCTGTGGTTGATAAACCTGGCTAGGTTCCCAAATTTAGTAGCGTCAATGATGGTTTCCTGATCGACCCGGAACAAATAGCTGCTTCCAATGCCCTCCTCCTCGTACCTCTGCTCCCTCATGTCAGCGATGCCCTGAGGAGGTAGAAAACAGACGTGCCAATTGATGCAATCAATGTCTCCCTCCGCAAGCTCTTGGAAAGTACCCAGAACAACCAGTGGGTCCCAGGGGCCCACTAGGCCAAGTCAGGGGACATTTGTTACTAGGGATACTAATTGTATCGTCACTGATTTCTTCAGTCATTTTGAATTCCGTTCACAAGTTGAAGATTTGATGTTGTTATCAATTTTATATCGGTTAAAATATCATTCCAGCCTGGAGGTAAGAGCGCTTATCGGAGATCTAATGCTGTAGGTTTACCGGTTGGTTTAAAGCTCCACCCATCTGATGAAACATTTTTAAATCATTGGAAAAACAATCAATTTAAGTCGAAAATTTGTATTTTTTTAAGCAAATCCTTGTTGTTAACAAGAGTTGAGAACTTTTTATCGAAGCCTAGAAATAAATTTGGGAATCTCTCACCTGTCTGATGATTTGGCCCACATACTCAATCACCATCTCATCTGCTGCTATGGCTCCATTGCAAACAGGCCCCACTCGTGAATATGACTCCGGCTGAAACGAATCCTCTTCTTTCGGAACTAATACAAATGGTGACAAAATACGGCAAGTGTCATTTGTAAACGCGGCTCCAGCGGCTGCAAATACTTACACGAAAGTTCACTGTATTACTATCTTCCACCTGGGCTACACAATCCTGACCACAACAAGGTCTCTGCATTCGACAGTCTTTCTTTTTTGGTCTCAGATGAAGCCTTTTCAGTATTTTGTGCAAAACAAACAGATCACATTCATCGTTATTGTAAAATGCACATTGAAATGAACCCACCTGAATATGTACACAAACACCGACAACAAATTCCTATTAGATCCTTCTTTCGTGTAGTTATCTAACAGTTGAGTTACCTTCAGCTGGTTGAACTTGACCAGGTCACTATCACAGCTGAAAGTGGACAGCAGGCGACGCTGTTCAGACCTGAAGTCGGACCCTGCACGCAGCGAGATGGGCTGCCGAGCTGGGATGCACATCCCCTGGGGAAATATATGAAGATATTAAGCATCGGACTGAATAAACTGGGCAGAGAGATCATTTAACCGTATTAATACCTGAGTACTTGTAGGTGGAAGCTCCACGTGGAGGTATTTCATTTTATCTTTCCTGCTAATTTTGTAGAATCCTTCGCTGCGAGCAGAACCGGTCGTGTGTTTTGGCTTCCAGGATTCATGCTCCTCGCTCATTTCTGTGACGACTTTTGTCAGTGAGCAGCAGTTAAGGATTTTAAAGCACAGGTTAGCTACAATACTATGTGTCAAGCACATAAGGATTTGATTTATCTGAATTCGGTACTTATGTGTTCTAATGACAAACCTTCCAAGAAATGTGCAGAAAAACGGCCCAATTGATACATAATTATTAAATCCTATTGGCTTTTCCCACAATGTACAATGTTAAATCACAAGGGGTTGATTTATTAAGATATTAAGATATTTTTAAGAAACATAATACATGCGGGAATTAACAGTCTGTGACTATGGTCAACTCTGTTCAGCTGCTTAGTTCCCTTTCTGTAAACTCATTTAAATTCCACATGTAACTCTGTTAAATAAAGGATATGAGGGTGAGCTACCCACAGGGTGTCACTGATCCACCCGAAGCCATTATCCCGCGCTTGCAGCCTTTCATATGCAGACCGCAGCAGCCTTTCATCTTCTTCATCCAGGCCCTCCCTCCAAACACTGTGGAGTATCCTCCTCTCCTCACACCGTGAACGCCACCTGTGAAGGCGACTGCGAAAGGCGAGAGACCCATCGGTTCTGTTCAGTGATCTCTGCCGATGATGGATTCTCCACCTTCTCTTGAGCCTCCTCCATCGTTTTCTCCTTGACGACCACCTCTCTCTCTCTCGACTGTTCTCCTCGTCCAGGCACCTGGGCACGTTCTCCAGTCCCTGCAGGGGCTTCTTTTTCACACCTGGATTGATCCACGTGTCCTTTTCATCAGCGGAGTCTGCCGAAGACTCTGGCAGGCCGCATGGACAGGACACTGGGATGGGAGAGAATCCGGCAGGGTCACATGGCGGGCGCTGCATCGTCGTCACCCTTTGTGTTTTCCTCCTGTGGACCACGGCTCTGCGGGGTAAGACGATGTCTCTGCCAGGAGTCCTCGGCGCTGTGACGTACGGATTGCTGGGCAGGTACGGCTCGGGAGGCAGACTGCAGCGAGTCGGCCGCATCGCTGTGCTACCCGATGACGCGACTGTCCCTCTGCCCGGCGTCGCTGGAGCTCTCCCTGAGGCGTGCCGTGGGCGGCCGGGTGCGTCCTCTCTGCCTGGAGTTTTGGGCGTATCCTGGTACGACGGGTACGAGGCAGGGACGTCACAGGGAGCTAGGTTGAGCTCGGTGCCTGTTGGAGAGAGGGAGAAGGCTTCATCGGCAGAGTCCTCGCTTCCCGGTTCAGTCACTATCCCCTTGCCGGGTGTCTGAGGTCGTTCCACCTCCTCCTCCGCTGGGGAGGTGGGTTTGCTTCTCATCAGAAGGTCAGGGTCACTGTCCAGAAAGCAGCCAGTAGGAGTAAGTGTCCTCACGTTTTCTATGTTCCCAAAGAACTCTTCTGTCCAGTCGGGGCTTTCCATCTCCACATCGAGGAGTAGCCCCACTGCCACACAGATAAACAGGAACAACATGACATATGTATATTTTCACCACCGTTTTCCCTAAATACATGTGTTTTTATCCAAAACCTACACCTTTTTTACAATACTTGTTTTTTTACAGTGAAATAACTATTACCTACCTATTCTAAGACTTATTGATGATTAATCATATTAATATCAAATGTCACCACCACTTCTACTAGTGTACAGCACCTGGACATGCGATAGGGGACGGGGGCCGTAGAAGGCTCGGAGGTCCGCTGGTTTGGAGATCCATCATAACATCCAAGTCAAAGGTGTCTTGTTGATAGGATCTGTCGGGGTTCTCCTCAATATGATCTGGATCCGACCAGTCCTGGAGGTCCAGCTCCAGCTGAGCACCAGGGGTGAACGGGGCCGAGGGAGTGACTGGGGGCTCAAGTTCCATCGGCTCCTCGTCTGACGATATGACAATACACACACCCGACCGGTCGGCCTCCTCCTCTTCATCTTCCGGACTGAGGTCGGAGTAGGAAGAGTCCTCGAAGCTCTCTGAGAACGAGTCGGAGGAGTCGAGTTCTGACGAGTGCTCGCTGTCCTCCGAGGAGCTGCTCTCTGAAAAAGCATCTTCAATTGAAAAAAAGAAAATAATTTAATCACAAGTAAGTAAATGTTCACAAGGAGTTTAAACTGCATGATTTGTTAACGTACCGCTCTCTAAGCACTGCACTCCATCACCAGTTTGGGAGATGACAGCATCTTTATCTTCTGTGTGGTTTCGTGCCAGCTCCTTTTCTTCCTGAGGGCGATTACCGCCATCATCGCCATCGTCATAATCTCCATCACTCTGAATAAAGCATAAGTTATATCTTAGCAACCTTATCCGATTAACCATTTTCAAGGTTTTGTTGCCCATCAAGATGTGATTTAATTAATTTTGGATTAAGAACTGTAACACATGTCTGCTTTGTTTGTACAGGTTTTTTTTCGTTGAAAATCCCTATTCACCAGATTTTGAGGCTCATCATCAACTAGCACAACAGGCTCCCTTTTGTCTGATGCTGTTTCTTCGTCTCGAGGATCCTTATCTTCGTCTTTCCTTTCATCATCATTGTCACTGTCGAGCTTGTGTGGTCTTGCGTGTCTGCGTTTGGCTCTCTCGGATGCAGCTGTCAATTTGTCATCCCCCTGTTTGACTTCTTCATGGAGGGAGACAGCGACACAATTGAACAGTCAGAATAGACAGACGAGTTGTAAGGTCAACCATGAGGGTACATTTAATTAAAAGCACCAACCTGAGCTTTCCTGAGAAGAGCACAAACTATGTTCTGTCTCTTCTGTTGCAGCAGCATCATTGGCTCTTTTCCTTTTTACCTGCATGATGAGTTATTTTCCAGTCCATTCATTTATGCATCACTCGGGTTGAAGGGTGGCGTGTTTCATATAGTGAGCAAAATACTTTACCTTGAAGGAGGGCAGTGGAGGTTTCTTGGCCCGGCCAACGATGTGACTGGGGGGATTTATTAGTTTGTTCCTCCCTTCAACACTTGCTGCTCCACTTTTCAAAGGAGCCACTTGTGTCTTGTGAATTACATAACAATAAACTGTTAAATACACAACTTCATACGGTCACGGGACATTTTTCTTATGCTAACCACTTATGAGATATATGGAATAGCTCACCTTCATTCTTTTCTCTTGGCACTCCCACCAGTCCTCAAACGCCTTGAAAGCGATGCCTTCAATCATTCTGCGCGTCATGTCCTTCTTCACGATTGACTTCAGTTCATCCATGATGACTTCTAAAACTTTATCTATTGTGACTTTATGAGGGTTTTCACGCACAGGTGCGTAATCTGGTGGTGGCACAAATGGGTTAAACCTGGGAAAACATGGAGCCGGCCAAGGGGGTACAGGTAGTGGTAAGGGCGCACTGCCGTGCATTGGAGGATTCCTGGCCAAGGGGTATGTGTGCACGGGGGGTGGAACTGAGGTCAGCGGCATCAAAGGTGGAGGGGGTCCTAGATAGGTTTGTGGGGCAGGAATAGAAGAAGGAGCCGGAAAAGGTGGAGGAGGAATGGGGATGCCAATACGATGACCCGGAGGTGGGATCCAAATAGGGGGCGGGATGGGGATGGTGCCATTTGGCAGCCGAGGTGGGACGGGTGGAATAGTTCGGGGAAAGGGAGGGATGGGGAAAGGGAAAAGGCTGACTGGGGGATGGAAGCACCCAGAGTTAATGGAAGGTGGAGGTCTGGAGGTATCGAGTTGAGTGGTGCTGTTGAGAGAAAACAACGGTGGCCGAGGAAGAGAGGAAATCTGTTTTGTAGTCGTCAAAGCGCTGGAAGGTTGGTTGTTTGAGGGCCTCTTGCTCTCATTTGCTGCATGATGGTCCTGGGAATGTCACAAACAAATATGAATTTGCGGCAGCGAATGAATACTTTCATAACAACATAACTACTACTTTTATTGTCATCATTTGTTTATGAAAAGATCTAGAGGAGTTACCTGTGGACATGAGAATGACCTGAACCTTTCTTCCTCTTTTTCGTTGTTCCTTTCAAAATGCATGAGTTCAGATGGAGACTCTGAGTTTCTTGTTAAAAACAGAACCGCTTGAGTGGTTTCGTCCTCTTCATTTTCAATGAGCGATGTTGAACTGACATCCAGCAGATTATTGGAGGAGCCACAAGAAGTCAGAGTGCCAACCAGAGCGTCCTCCGGGAAAGGGGGGGTGTCGGCGGAGCAAGGTGAGGTCGGGCTGTCCTGAGAGTGCACATCAGTGTCATGAGTCTTTCTATCAAAGTATGAAGGGTCAGACATCCGGCTGTTGATCAGCAAACTCTCAATTCGAGAGTCCAAACTCTCCACCCCTGGCTGGGGGCTACTCGGGGAACAGTTACCAGCAGATGGAGATAAGTGGGTTACGCACGCATGGGCATCAGGTGGGGAGGACGCTGCCGTCTGCCGGTCAACCGTGAAATTAACGCTCACGATGCGAAGAGAATTGCCGTTTTGATGTAAAGCCCGAGGTGTAGTGCCGACCGCGTCTCTGGACTCCTGACAGGGGGAGGCGAGGTTAAAGGGAGCTCCTCTGTTATTGTGAGATGAGGACTGTGCATTGTGATCCCACAGAGCGAGCTGCTGGCCGCCGGTTTGTGTTTGGGCCGAGAAAGTGGGCGGGGCTTGCGGCTGACAATGTTTCAAAATAAAGTTGAAATCTGAGACTTCGCCAGATCCCCTGGGCCACCGAGCAGATTTACGATGGCAGGGCTCGCGTCTTAAAGGTTTGTGAACACTATAGCTTGACGACTCCCCCTGGAGAACTGGAGTTGCCTGAAGACTGGAGTAGCAAGAGTCCTGAGAGAGCGGAGTCACAGACAAGCAAGGCGTACGGGGGGTTCCCTGAGAACGTGGCGTGAGCCCAGAGCTGCAAGGCGTATCCTGCCAAATACTGGAATAGGCTGTGTCCAGAGAGAGGGGGGTGGCGACGCTGTAGGGGCTGGAGATGCTCCCACGTCGCTGTGTGGCTGCGCTGCCCTGGAGGAAATGGACAATGCAGAGGTCATAAGTCAACCTGCTGACAATAATCATCCCTAACATACTTAGGAATGGATCGGCTGGTTTATAGATATTGAATATGCGGTTACTTCTCAATTATGAGCAGCTCGCAAATATTTACCAGCAAACTGTCGATTAAGCTGTGAATGGCTCGCTCGCTGCCGCCCACTGGCAGCGTCCACGGAGTGTAAAGGCCGCGTAAGAGGAGCTGGAGATACCGCGCTCGGTTTTCTCCTGAGGAAGGTTGCATATTACAATGAATCAACAAATTCTATTCGTAAAAAGAAGTTGGAAAGTGTTTCTAATCAATTACCCTTAGGATCAATTTCCACGTGAATGACATTTCCCATCACGGACGTCTGATGCAGGTGCTGAACTGCGTCCTTTGCAGCTCGCACGGTGTCAAAGACGACCTTTGCGATGCCTAAATGCTTCTTGTTCTTGGGATTGTAAAAAATCTCCACGTCCTCAACGTTCCCATGTTTATTGCACATGTTAGTCAAGAAGGTCTCCCTCACATTGTCATTCAACCCGGAAAACGTCACTTCTTTGGGAGGAACAGGACCAACATACCATTCATCTAACTGAAAAGACATAAACATGCATGATTACCCTCATTGTTATAATGAGTATTTATCGCATTGGCACCGGCGAGAGATTACCTTGAATTTAGCAATGGAAAGCTGCGTCTCGCTGCATTTGCTCCACAGGCGACTGACGCGCGGATCTCTGACCGTCTCCACAGGAAACAGACCTAAGTCCTCCACCTGTCGGAGTAAACAACACCCGTCACTGCAAAGACCAAACACGCGTGCTTGTTTGGCGCAATAGACAGACAGACGATGTCCAAAGACGCTCACGGGTATGTTGAAGTGCTGTCCATCGTAACGGTACACTTTGTACAGGCCTTTTGTCAACGCGGGGTCAATAATCAACTTGCAACTTCTCCAGTGCTGCGGCGGCGTGTCTCTCTCTGTAGTTTGTTGTTCGCTTTCCATCACATTCGTCAAAACCTGGAGAGGAAACACACACACAAAAGCACGTCCCGTGCGCTGTCACGTAGGGCCGTCGGCGAGCTCACATTTTCTTCCGCCGCTGGAGGCAAACACGCCCCGACAGGTGATGGAGAGCATCACCTGAGGCGGTCTCCCTTCTTCAGCGGGCGGCTGGTTGCGACGCGTTCAAAGATACCGCGAGTTAAGTCGAACAAAAAGCAATCGTATCTTGCTTACCTGTTCAAAAGTGGTGTCCTTTGGTGGGGCAACATTGTGGAAGAGCTGCTGCGATCGTCGGTGTTTCTCGCAGTCATTCGCGCAGGTTTGACATCGGATCCATCCGCCGGAGACAGATACGGAAAATAGAGCTTTCGGTTTGGCGGAAGAACACAACCTGTCGGAGGGGAGGTGGATAAACAGGTGACAGGTGTGTTTCCCTGCTCCCTGCGCTTATATTACAATCGTTGCTTATTCGTAGATAAATATATTACATTTTTGTTAGGTTTAAAAATGAAATGGAAAGAATATATATATATATATATCTTAGAACAAATATTTTACATTTCGAGCTGTACAGATACATGCACCTAGTGGATGTTGTGTACATAGTGTATAGTGTAGTAAGACTGTATGAACAATTGAATGTACAGATATATAAGTTATATGTGAGGCTATTTAATTGAGATATCCAGACAGGGTGGAGCAGTGTATTGAGAGAACGCTGGGATATTTGCAGGTGTTGAAGGTGTAAATTTCCCAGATAGAATTTCCAAACCATTTAATTTCCTCCGCAGCCTCCAAAACCTCTGCTCCCTTCCTGTCTGTATGGTAATCAATTTGCCGTTTTTGATTCCTCAAAAATACCACGGAATGTGTTCAAGATCTTTCGGTGGTAACGTTCGGTGCATAATTTCTCCACCATCCAGCAGAACTACAAATGCAGGAAAATGTGGACATCAGAGAGTACAAACAAACTGCACCTTCGGACACATTAGCATTGTGGCCATATGGTTATGGTATGAAATACATTGTATACAATAATCGTATTTCATTGTTTATTTTTCCTATACTTTTAAACATGCTAATGTTTTAAAAAAAGAACCAACTCCCAACTTATCGCGGTATAGTTTTATTCTCAAACCAGTATCAACCACAAAAAGGCCTGATTTTAACAAGCTACAGTAAAACACACATAAGCAGAACTTAAAACACAGTATTTACTCAAAACAAAACATATAAAGCTGTGCTTTGACACAAGGAGTGGGACCTCTCTCTACACATCCCCAACTTACAAACGTATAAATAAACCACAAACAACGAAACAAAGAAACAGGCCTACGTTTGCAATGGCCGATTTCAGTGTTTGCAGCTCATATCAATCAACTGGTCTTTATTTCGTTCCCTTTGAAAAGTTTTTCAAAAACATCAACAGCAGAAGTATAACGACCGCTTTACTAAAACTGTCTAAGTGACAAACCCCTCATGGCTCCTTGTTCACTGCTACGTGTCACACAGATGTTATTATCTGTTTGGGACAGAATGAAGGCACATTTTGGAGCTGGTACAGAACTCTTCTCAAAGCATGTGTAGGAGGCTGGTCAAACAATTGAAACTGCAATAATGACCATGACGTTCCCTTGATATAATTACAGAATGTTACAATATATTTTGTGAAAATGTGTCATGAGACAACAACTGGCCAAAATGAATTAGCTCTAATTGTTTTCACATTTCCTCATTTGATCTTGAACATTGACATTTGTCTTCCAGGTTTTCAGTAAAGGTGATAAAGAAAAGGGTCAAACTATTCAACAATGTGCCACAAAGACAAAAATAACACACCTTATATTTCACACTCCTCTGTAACCCCAAAATGTACTAATACACTAAACGCTTGTAAACTATAAAAACAGAAAATATACAGACACAGCATTTCCAACACGTGCATGCTTTCTTAGGAACCAGTAACACTTTAGCAGATTACAGAATATTCACAATGACAAAGTGAAATAGAAAACCAATGATCTTGTCTTTGTTTTTACACAGACCTCGACGTCAGGCTCAAAAGGCTGCGCTCTATGAGTCATTTTGCTTGTTGCTAAACGCTTGCCATAGAACTATTTGCACTGCAGTAAGACACTTTGGTTTAAGGTATTCCCTTACTTATTTTTTAAGAAAGGTTGTTTTGCCTTGGATTGCACAAATAAACGGTAGGAGTGATCCATTTGATTTTTGCAAGACCTAAACAATGCTTTGCTCAGATCTCTGTTCCTACAAACAACCATTAGTCTGTTGAGTAAAAAACTGCACAACCACAGGACCATGAAATTGTTTTAAATTTGGTTTTACTGCATTCAGCCGGTAAATTCTAATATAACTGATATTTCAGTATTTTCTATATTTTCTAAGTTGTGAATTCTCATTCTGTGGTTCAATGTGCAGAGTGAGTCTTCTATTTATGTGATGAAGTTCTTGTTAAATACTGGCATAGGTAAGGTTCCCTACTAAAGATAATCTAAAGCAAGGCAAACGGGAGAAATCTCTGCGATCCACCACAGGAAGATAATCAGGCTCAAGCTTGCAATCCCCCCTGCCCCCCCAAAAAACCATGAGAGCAAAGTTCATGGGCAAAAAAATAATACAAGTAATAAAGCTTTTTTTAAGGGGTGTGGAACGTCTGCTGCAGTTGTGTGCTACAGACTATATTTTCAGGGGAAATTGAGGGTGACCTTCAGATCGTCGTTCTCACCCCTGTGGTCCAGCTGGTTCTGGAGCTGAATGACCTGCTCCAGCTCCTTGATCTGCCGGTCCGTTTTGTGACTGACGAGCGTGCGGTAAAAGTGGATGGCGAACATGATAAAAACGATTCCGAACGGCACCATGATGCAGGTGGAAGCGATGGCCGCGGCCTGACCAGAACTTATGCTGCTGTTGTTATGTTTGCTCTTGAGGGGCAAGAACTTCACCCAGCACAAGAGCATCACCTCCGTCAGGAAGAGGAGGGTGCCGATGACTGTGGAGAAGGCCCAGGCCAACTCGATGTGACGGTGCATGCGCTCGTGGGGGGACTCGTGGACAGAGTTGAGGTTGTGAACATTGCTGACGGCCTCGAGGTTAGGAAGGATGCAGGTGCTGACCATGAGGGCGAAGAGGTGTACGGCAACCAAAACGGTGGTGCAGGCGCTGAAGGCTATCAGCAACCCCGCGGGATACTCGTGATCCCGCTCCAGCTGTACCTCCACCATGGCAACCTGGAACATCAGAGAGAAACATTTTTACTTTCACGCTTGATAATTGGATATCAACATATGCAAACTGCTGAGATCCTTTTAAAAACAGCCTGCATCAGTTATCAGCACAATGAACATGGCGGTCATATTTATAGCACTGCATGACATGTATGTAGCGAAGAGATGCATTTACCTTGTGCAGTTGCCCTGCTCTATATACATTTTAGGGGTACTTGAATAGCTTTATGGTAACACTCAATTTTAAGTGTTTGACCACAAGCTGCTGTTTGGCAAGATATAGAAGGAACTGGCATATCTGAGAAGACTTTCATTACATCTGATTTAATGATTTACATAGCCTACGGTATGCTGGAGAACCAGAGTTAGAAAGCTACATGTGATTCAAGTTGTTTATTAGACTTGATTATGTACAGATATGTCATGTTGTGTAACCTTACATTTCAGAAATACATTTGGCTTTTAGCTTAAACTATAAACGGAATTGGTATTCATTTGCACGTTGAATAAAAAAACAACATCAGAGATGGTTACAAATGAATGTTCCTGGTCTACTAGATTATCGCAAACATGACAGTGAGTAGGCCCTCTGATGTGTAATCAGTGGCTCCTTCCCATTGCACAAGTGCACCGTTATTTAAGATATTATGACCACCATCTTCTCACATAGGTGCAATCTTTTTACAGAAATCCGACGGTAACTCATGCTGCATAATGACGTTATTGGATCTTGCAGCGTGTCGCGATCGCCCACAAGCCTTCGGAAACAACCGTCTGCGTCACGCGCGCCGTGTTCGCGCGGCTCTGGCCTGCGCGCAGCGCGTGTCCGCGCGGTAAACGGCCCAAAGGAGCGTCACGAGAGTCAAATTGTTAGAACTTACCATCGCGAACCCGGACAACAGAGCCGAGGTGCGACTGGTGGCTTTTAACTTGGCTCGACTCAGGTAGAGTTTCCTCCACGACAGAGCCTGCAGGGAGTGCTCGTTCAAACTCATTCCGAAAACGTCCTGCGAGTCACTTTCTCAGTTTACTTGTGTAACCGTGAAGTTATGAAGCGGGTGGATTTACAGGATGGCTCTCGATGAAGTAGACAGATGAAGAGAGAACAAAAACAAGGGGGGGGGCGGAGAGTTTAATTCCGTAGAAGAAAGACGTTGAATAAACTAGCTACCAGACTATGTCAAAACTTCCCCACAACAGCTGACCGACTCCGTCAGTCTATCAGGAAGCACAATATACCCACAATGCAACGCGGCTCAGGCAGCGCGCGCCTCCGGGTGCAACTTATCGGTCACGGAGCTGGTCTGTCTTCAGTTGCGAATGTGTGTTTCCTGGATTCACTGTCAGCAGCTTAGAATACATCCGGGGGGGTTATCTCAGACAACTATGAGAAATTAAAATATACATCAATCCAACAAAAGTCTGCTAATGTTTTGTAAACAGCTCATTGGAACTTCTTGCAATTAGCAACACCATCTTGGAAGGATAAATAAAAATAACACATATTGATGTGTCCCTTTTTTTTGCAGCATCATATAATATATGTATATGTATTATAAAGTTACAGTAATTCGAACGGTGTTTTGTCCCTTGTGGGTCGTTTTACAGAGGAGTTTAGGAGGTTGTATTCACACATCTAACCACAACTTCTGGCTAACAACTTCTGGCCAAGCGAGTAAACAAGACAAATGACTTCCTTGGCAGTGAACAGTCTCCCACCACCTGAGGGCAGACACACACAAGACATCTCAGGGAGAGGGTCAGAAAGGTGAAGTTGATTTTACAAGGGAACGGAATAGGCAAAATTACATTTCCTGGGGCATGAGGTGCAAATGTGTATTAATTCATGAATTGGGCACCAATTATGTATATGTAGGTAGATCATATTTTTGGGAAGTTAGTGATTTACACTGGCACATAGATATGTTAGTTTCTAGTGTAATCCTTTCTTTCAACATTGAAATCCGATCTCACGGCAATGAAGCTCTAGATTTAACAGAAGTGACACGTCATTTTAAATTGACACCTACAGAAAAATAGGAACTGTAAAATACATATGTATTGCTAATAATACAAAGTATTAGCCTACCGCAGGAAATCATTTTTTCGTATGTATGTTAATCCCCAAAATACTCCTTTTAACTTAAAAAAACAACTGCTTTATTAACCTTAATTCATCTGGTTGTACAACAGAATTCAATTAAAAAAACAAAATACAGACTACAACTGGCTTATGCGAGGGTAAGACATGTTAAAAGCTGGAGCTAGTGGCCTTACATGCTTCCTTGTTATATCATTAGATTATTATATCATACAGTCCAATCCTGAGCCAAAGACACGTTTATTGTTGTGTCGTCTCTGTACACACTTATAATAAAGTGATTGCTCTGATGTTATGGTCGCCCATCTTTAATTTAAAACTTCTAATACGTTGATAGTCCCACAAAACACATTATGCAAAAGATCAATGTCATCATATTTAACATCTAACAGCAAATCTCATGCAATCAATGATGAGTATTCATTACTCTTAAAATATTGGTGATACCTGTACATCTGCTCTGGTTTTTATATGCTTGTGTCTGGTGTTAGGAAGGTGAAACCTGCCCAGAAGCACTGAAATCAGACAAAATCTGTTATATTGTTTGGCCATTACGCAACAGCATTTTATTATTAAATTAAATCCTCCCTTTTGGCACCAGCCTTTTATTTCACATCTTGTTAAGTAATCCAATTCAACGGGCTGTATTTAACCTTGACTATACCTCACTGACCCACTAAAACAAGGGAAGCGAAGACGGACGTGCGTCGGAGTGAGCCATCTTGTATTAACTGCTGATCTTCGTTTCCTGTCGCTTCAATGCTGCTATCAGGTCTTACATAAATAATCGTTGCAAAGCATGCCATGGTTTTTGCCACGCTATGCACCGCCAAGTTTTATATAACTGCCTTGCATTAATGTCTATACACTATTCAATATTCAAAATACTTACATAATTACTATTATCAAAATTTTCAGTGGACAGTTTTTTGTTGCTAACCTAAATCCCGTTACGTTAGACGCGTGAAGTAAGCAGGAAGTAGGTGTTTCCCGTATTACTCATGGTTCCTGAACACATCACATTTTTCTACCAGCTGCCCTGTGTTGGAGCGATGTGAAGGAAGGGAGGGGGGTGAGCTAAGCTGGATGCTTGATCAGCCATGTTAGTTTTCTGTTCTGTTCACGAACGATGAGAGAGAGGAGCCATGGCCTTGTCATTAAGCGGAGACGATGAGGAATATGATTCAGAGTCGGAGCAGGTCAGAGCCGCTAAATTTCATCATGTGACCACTGTGAATGCGTGCGGTTGTTTGTTTGTCAGCAGTGTGCCGCGAGAAAGGAAGCGTTTTCGTGAGCGTAATGGTGTTTTCTTTTCTCCAGTTGCTTCAGGTTAACGTTTGGTTCTCACCCGCTCTTCTCCTGTGTTCAGTCCGCGTTAAAAACCGTCTCCGTAAACCGAGTTTTAAAGCTGAATTACCCCACTCGAGTCAATGTTGTGAACACGGTGTATGTCTGTGTGTGTTTTTATTTTATTTTATTGGACTCGGGAATTGATTCCCCGCGCGGTCCAAACACACCGTGTCCTCTCCTCCTCGGACACCATCTATCCCGTTAGCACAACTGACCCAGTTCGCACCGACCACCTCTTAATACACGTTACTCATCCCGGTATTAACATCAGTGTTTCCCCCCCGCCTAGCTGCAGGATCACGGAAAGCTGTTATTCACACATGTGCACGTTAGATCCCACACACATGATGTCCCGTAAGGGCCCCAAAATAAAAAAGAAGAAGAAGCAGCTTACATGCGATTCATTTTCTCACACTTCCTCAAACTTGCCTCTTCACTCTGTGCCTTTAAGAAGGCTTTAGGCAAAATATTGTCTGGGACCGTGGAGGGGGGATGGGTTTAGGGGACAAAGAAAGGGCCTCCCACTCTAGAGGATAGTGTCCACAAAGGTGGGTCGGGGCGCCCCCCCCCCCCCCCCCGCTCATCAAACCTCTAGAAAAAACAAGTGGTTGATTTCTATTTCAACAGTATTTCGCCCCCCCCTCCTCCCCTCTGTTCTGCAGCAGAAGGAGGAATGCACTCAGTCACTGTGTTTTGACAGTAGTTGTGCTATGAGGTGCATTTCTTGTGGGGTTCACTGCATGACCGCCCCCCCCCCCCTCCTCCAGGCTTATGAGACATTGCACAAGGCTCCGAAATACGAGAGGTGCTGACATAAGAGCCAGGTTCTGTGTGCTTACACAATGTTAACACCCGCAAACGGCTCCCCGGAGGGGTTGTTTTGACCTCCTCTGCGGTCACACCTCTGCCTGGTGTCGGTGCCGAGGGCCCGCTGTACACCAGGTCCCCCTCCACCCCGACGTGGACCCTCGAGCTGAGTCAAAAGATTCTGAACGTAGGCCGTGTTTTTCTTAGCAGACCTGAGGAACCGATTCCAAATTCCTGGCATATTACTGCACGGAGTAACAGTGGAGACGGGTCAGCTGATTAGTGGGGACCAGGCGCTCTGCTTTAAAGGGCTCTGATGTGTTTGTCAATGTGAACCAGGGCTTTGGATGTGAAGGCATGTGCGTTGGTTGTAGTGGTCAAAACCGTGACGCTTTTCGTAGCTTTTGTTCAGATATGTTATTAGAAAAACAGTATTGTGTGTGTGTGACTGCCAAGGTCAAGAAAATGAGGAGGCTGCTGAAGTAAAACACATTGTGCGATGTTGACAGTCAACCCGCCCTGCAGCAGCAGCAGCCCGTTTTCATGGTAGTCAGATTCATTTTGTGGAAAGCTGTCAGATGGATTATTCCCTCCGCTAAATTCTCCATCAGTAACAGAAGGCAAAACACACGGTGCTGTTCTGGGAAATCATATGATTTGGAAGGAAACTCGCATAATTTCAAAGTCCTCCTGAGGGAGAACAAAAAAAATAAGGACAACATTAATATTCTACTGAAGCGGTTTCCAGCGTCAGCAGAATTGGGGCCGGTTTCTCTTCTCTGTTGAGGTAATATCTCTCTGACAGCATTAGTTTGATGGTTGTTGGCCCGGAACAGCGTGTTCTATTTGCATCTTGCGTTACCTGTCTGACCTGTCCTTTCCCCTCTCGCATTGTTATCTAGAAAGGAAATAAACATACGCTGAAAGGACACGCAGGAGTAGTGATCAGTTCTATTGTATCAACAATAAATGACAGCGCTCACAGCCTCACGTTAAATGCTCCTCTGCACTTATTTTTATCCATCTCCAGCAGTCATCTATTCAGACAGTTGCCACCAGCGAGGCAAACGTGTTGCCAAGGTAACCTCCTCTCCTGCTAGAACAAGAATCACCAACGGTTTATGATTTGTCTTATTTTCACAGCACTTTACAGTCCTGCCATGGCAACAGGGAAGAGACTTTAAATACATGTGAGGAATTCACAAACATGAACTCAGGAACATAGATTCAAGGGTGTGTGTGTGTGTGTGTGTGTGTGTGTGTCAGGAAGATGAGTTTAGCTTTTCTTTTATTTACTAAGTGAAACCTAGAGGATGTGTAAGCAATGGTCAGAGCTGTGGGGCTTTTATTATATAAATGTAGGAAAACTGAGATCATTTCAGATTCTTAAATCTAATGCTGATAAAAGTAGCCAATTGTCGATTATTTCATCGACAGAAATGGAAGAGCCGATCGTGTTTTTATTTCATATTTATTGATTTGTCATTTAAGCATCGGTTGGTTCTAGCTTCTCAAACGTTACAATTCTTCCCTTTAAATATCTTTGTAAATTGAACATTTTGCTTTCTAGTATTTGTCAAAACGCAGCAGGATCAGCGTGTTTTTAATGGAAACCATGAAATGAATTGGCTGTATGTTGAATGCACTTCCTATGGTTGAATGCACTTATTGTAAGTCGCTTTGGATAAAAGCGTCAGCTAAATGACATGTAATGTAATGTTTGATTATGACACGTATCGGGAATCAGTTTGATGTCAGATTCAGATAAACTGACTAGTAAACAGTACGTTTCGACCTCACGACCCACATATTTGTTCTTTTCAGGACTTAACCTTTGTATCTCTTCATATCTCTCTCTCTCTCTCTCGGTTTGTCTTCCAGCAGCGGGCGGCCAACAGGCCGAAGCCCAAGGTGGGGACGTCGTCGGCCGTTAAGCTGCCGTCCAATCGCACCTCGTCCGGCGCGAGACGCAGGAGGACGCGATGCCGCAAGTGTGAAGCGTGCCTTCGGACCGAGTGCGGGGAGTGTCACTTCTGCAAGGACATGAAGAAGTTCGGCGGGCCGGGGCGCATGAAGCAGTCGTGCATCATGAGACAGTGCATCGCTGTAAGTCTCTTGCCGTTTCAAAAGGTGGCGCTTGTGGTTTTATAGAGCAATCGCCTA